TCTCTTCCCACCTTAACGATTCTGTGATTTCAAGATACTGTAAGGAGCAGCTCAAAAACTGACACACGTCCTCTCCTTTCAAAGAGGTCAGCTTCTCTGGCAGCTTCTAGGCACATCCACCCAATGTCCCACATTCCCACAGAAGAAAATGCACTTGTACAGCGCTGACCCTGGAAGGTTTCTGTTAGAGCAGGGCTGGATTCGGTCAAGGTTAAACACTTCAGCCAATGAATTCCTACAGATAGAAAGCCCTTCTACGTTACTATCTGCTGCTGTGTGAAATATGATTTAATCTACGCTACTGGTAACGATTTTTGCTAGAAGGTACCATCTTACACACACACTTTTCCTCAGGACCAGAAATTGAATCCTATGGACCCTTGGGAATGCTTGCCTGGAAGTCCGCCAGACAAGTGCTTTCCTACAATTATACACTGTGGTGTCAGTGCGTGGGTTCAGCCACCACTTAACAAATTTACTAGATAAACCTCCGTGATTCATACCAGCAGTGTTCAAGTGGCTAACTGCCATGTACTGGCAGGGAGCTGACTAATGTTGCTCGAACAATGAAAGAACTCACTTGAATAATGAATTGGGCTTTGGCAAATCGATGCAGAGATGACTGACAGTCTGTGTCTCTGCTCCAAAACAAGAGCTGAGCAACAGCAAAAGGGTGAGACAGGCAGCCAACAGCTTGGTACAGGAGGGTCTTACAACTACAGGTGCACCTGTTCTCAACAGAAAGGAGCACGTCCTGCTCTCTCCATTTAGTTCAATCGAAAGAGTAGAGCAGGGTCTCTAGAGGATCTCACGCTTTCCTTCATCAGCTCTCTCCTGAACAATAACAACTTGGGGTCAAAGCTACAGCAGTCACATCTGTTTTCTTTCCTAATGTGCAAATTGCCATCACAGGTACTTTTAAGACGAAAACAAGAAGTCAGCATTTCATGCCATGAAATTAGCAACTCAGTTTTGGAAAGCCCTGTCTAGAAATTACTCCAATACCTGGCAGGAACGACCAATTTTCCAGACAAAGTATCCTATACAACTTCAGTAGCAAATTCTGCTCATACATAAAACCCACTTGGGTTAACAAATTTGTCTTTGCTATGATTTAAATCCAGTCAGTGAAAAACAATAACTTGGCCCAAACCATTCCCCCATAAATCTGAAAGCAAACAGAAGCCAAGGCAAGGTATGCATGTAAGACATTTAACTGCCTCTCTAAAGCAAGAATAATAAAGCACCATTCTTGAGCTATTCTGGAGATGCAAGAATGACTAAGAGTTTCTTCTGGGATGTTAACATTCTAAGAAACAGTGAAGTATTCAGTGTTCATCAATGCTTTGCCTTGGATATCATTTGCATCTTGCCTTGCAGTGGGAATAATCACAGCACTTCCATCACTGTGGAGTGGTACGTACTAAATTTCTGTTGATGCTGAGATGAAATATGCAATCGGTTGGGCAATCGAGGTGGATAAATAAAGTCATGTAAGTGCCATATTTCTGGGGCTATAGAGACCGTGCAATCTGCACAGTGTTCAGAACTATTTCACTGCAGCTTTGCATGCGGTCAGAGCCAAGCTGATTGCTCCAGTTTACACAAGATCTGCACAGAAGTGTAACAGAGACCTTTGCAGATGCAAGCTGGAAATCTGGCCACTTTTCTCCCACTGTAAGCACAAGGGTACATGTATTCAGCTGTACACAGAGCCCTATAGCTTTAATATTCAGTAGTCTACAAATAAATAGTTTCTTTTTGGGTTTCTCCACAACACTGTGGGTTTTTCTTTTCTTTTTTTTTTTTTTTTTTTTTTTTTTTGTGAAAGGCACAAAACAAGATAGTTTTACATCTACTTCTGTGGCTGCGCTACAGAAGCCCAGAGTTTGTCTGTGGACAGAGCTAAAGCAAAGTGCAACAGAAAAGATTGAGTTGATTGCTAAAGATGCAAGTATGAGCTGACAGAAGCCAACAGGAAAGGTCCTTCCAGAGTGATAAATGATTCCTAGTCCATTCAAAGGATCTGATGGAGGTACTTAGCTCCTCTGTGCCGCACAGCAAATGGGATAAAAATGACCTATATCAACACAAAGGGAGCTACATGAGTCAGGCTCTCAGTGCATATTCAGCAACTCTAAGCAACAGATGCAGAATAGGTATTTAAACAGTAAACCTTGGACAAATCTGGCAGCCTCCTCATAGGATGCTTTATGTTTGCTGTTTTTAGCTTTTCAAAGTGTCAAAAAGCAGCAGGAAAAAATAATGCTGTATAGCCCTGCACACCAAGAAACAGCAAGTGGGGTGAAAAGACCTCCGAAGTAAGCTCCACCAAATGAGGTTATGTTATTCAAAGCCCTTTTTTCCTGTAAGACACAAGGTGATGTATCACAGTCTAAATATCCCACTTAGTTCTGTCCTCAATGAAAAACCAAGTGACAAAACAGTGATAAAACAGAAAACCACCCACATTCATCTGGGTTTCCAGCACCACCATCCCACATCACAAAATGCTTTATCAGCAGCTACAGAATCTTAATTTGGCTCTTCTGAACAAGCATCCCAATGTGCAGTGCTGCTCACCAGAAGGATTTACAAATCTCTCCAGAACCTCCTCCAACATCCCGATAATTTTGCTGGCATGAATAAGAAACTTCTGGCATGCAGAACAAGCCACTGCCAGCTGACAACGCAGCGAAGAATTTCTTTCATATCTGAAGTTTGCACGAGTAGGCAGCTGGGACTGTGATGAATTACTATCTCTGATTCCAGCACTAAGTATAAGACATTTATTTGGCAGAGTCTGTTAGGAAAGATGTCGCCAATATCAACTACTGGTATTAGCAAACTTCTTCAGGAAAGCTACCGATGTTGTTCACAGTCTGCTTACAACAGGAGTTAGTACAGCATTTTTTCATCGATTGAACGTTAATTGAATTCTGCACTGTTTCCGAAGAAAAATGGAAACATTTTGTTTTGAAAACAACTCAAATTAATCATTTTCAGTTCTTATTTACTCTTATTCTGGGAGCCAAAGCCTCCTTACAATAAACCTGGACACTTCGCCTGAGAAATAGCATTATCCATCAATTATTTACTGTGTTTTTCTCCCTAGTTTGATGTTATACTGCCATGTTTTCAGCAGCTAGCACTACAAAGCCTGTTTACACAATCCTGCACATCTGACTTCTCTGCACAAATATTCCAAGGACAAAGCATTTGCTTGGTATCTATTTGGAAACTGACTTGTTTTCTAACCAGTATTCAACCAATCAAGCAGTTCCTTTAGAATACAGGAGCAGTCATCATAGTGGGATGTATTAACTGAAAATCACCAAATATTCACTGATGTGGCTATAAGAGATTCAACCATTTGATCACCAAACTTAGCCTAGTGGGAGGTATCAATGCCCACGGCAGCAGGCTATGACAACGGAATCTTTAAGGTCCCTTCCCAAGCAAATCATTCTGTAATTCTGATCCTATTCTACATCTTTGGCTTGTGCTTCAGAGATGAAAGATGTGCACAACCCAGGAAGAGCAAATACAAAGCAGGTTACAAGCTCCATTTAATTTCACTTACTGAGGCCATGTAATTATTTTGTTATTATTACAACCATTATCATTATCTGTTATTATGGTTCTCACCTCACCCTAAATCATTTACTACTGCTATTGGGACACTCCTCTTCAGGGCAACAGAAGTCCCTCCAAAAGCCAAGGAAAGTAATTATTACTGCGTTTAAAACATTCTAAATCCACTGCATTATCCAAAGCCCAAGTCCTCTGTGAATACCACCCAGCAGCTTCAACAAACAGCTAATCAGCACCTATAGATTTTCCATAGCCCAGCTGCAATGGCTCATTAATGATCTAGCTTGGGGATTTGTTTTCTTATGGACTTTGTAATGTTTTGAAGCACGTCAAACCATCATTTAAAGATTCTGTTGAGAATAAATTTAATTGCAGCACACTTCAACCAGAGTCATAAAATCACAACCTTGTTTTTAAATAAGCATTTTAAAATATCCAAATAAATAGCTTTAATCTTCTGAAGATCTAGAAAGACTTTAGCTAGAAAACTTACTTTTTAAAGTTCAGTACATCTCTGGGATGAGCTCAGAGTGTTAGCAGAGATAATTATCAGAGAGATTATGCAGATCTTATTTTCAAAAGGTTTTGTTTGTTCTTTTGTTACATAATTGCTTAGTGTTCGTTTGGAACTTAGAAAATAGAAAGCATCAGTGAAATACCAAGCATTATTTATTTAACAGGAAAATAATTTTGCCAAACAGCATTAACATCTTCAGCATCATTTGCTGTATTTTGAAATGTCTTGTTAACCTGGAGAGCTGCTCAGTCATCTAACTTTGGCAGCACTGCAAATGGGAAATGTGCTTTACCACTATTGTTTTTAAAGTATTTCAGAAGAGAAACAGCAAGAAGCAAAGGTGCACTGTAGGATTTTGTGAGTTCTTTCATTTCTAGCCTTGCTGGTGACAAAGGCCGTCACACTTATGAGACTGCTGTAAGTCAACTTGTTGGCCTTGTAAGTCAAACCACTGCAATAGAGTACACAATCACCACGGAATCACTAAATGTTTACAGAACTGGATAAACCCACTTCAAATGTTTCCAAGCCTGCCCAAACTTACAAGCAAAACTCAATCAGGCTGTGTGGATTAGAGTATACAATCTAACTTCTGACCAAATTTCAGTCAAGGTCTTTTAAATGTGATAGAAACCATCTTTAAAGTATAAAAAAGAGGATATTAATTCAATACATAATTATCACTGGACACACTTACGGACTTACTATACTTATTCTTGCAAACAAGTTAAAAGTTTTAACTATAAATTCAAGTTCACTTAATGATCATTTACAGGGACTTCAGTTTCTCTACAGTGTCAAAAAGCTTACTGCAAATATTCTATGCAATCATCTCACTGCATATGCAATCACCTTTGGCTTAAACACGGTAAAAGCGAATTCTACTTACAGCCAACCATCATCATGGCCACTGAAAAAATCTTCTCTCCATCAGTGGTTGGTGCTATGTTTCCAAATCCTATCGTTGTAAGGCTTGTCATGGTAAAGTAGAGAGAGGATATGTACAAGGAGTCTTTACTGGGTCCTCCTTCCCACTGCCCTGAGCCAGTGGTGTTGTATCGATATGGTGTCCCAATACTCAGTGCCAACTGGTAGAGCCAGCTATCGGTTTTGATTGTGTTAGTGACTTCGTCTATAACTTCATAGTCCCCGATGCTGTACCATATGCAGGCTAGCCAGTGGGCCACCAGTCCAAACACACACACCAGCAGTACCAGTACGGCAGCACCATATTCCAAATAATGGTCCAACTTTCTGGCAACTCGACCAAGTCGGAGAAGACGCACCACTTTTAGTGAACTGAAGAGGCTACTGATCCCCTACAAAAGAAAAAAGATCATTATTTCACCAGAGGAATCCTGCTGGTTAACAAAGAAAATTACAGTGATTCCTGCAGCTGTTTGAAACCTTTCTGTACAATTTCTAGTGCCTTGGATGAGAGATGATGCAGTACTTTTGTCCTCAGCAGGGGACAATTAAGTTTGGCATTGGATAGCTGTATAAGTTGCTTAGTTCAAACTTAAATCTTCCAAAGTAACAAAAGAATCCTGTGAAATTCAAAGTGAGAAATGGCATGTTCGTTACAACACGGATGAACTTTCACCAACTTGAAGTAAATGGTACATTTTGCTTTGACCTCCGAAGTCAAACATGGTGGAGGAGCAGAGATTGAAGTACACCATTAGGGGAGCTTTCCTCCAAACTGCCCAGAACCCAACAGCAATACATTAAAACCAAGGAAGGGGGATTGTCACTCTGATCAAAGTGGCGTGGTCCATCTGCCTCAACAGCCTGCAGCATTACCAGATGCGCAAGAGAAACATCAGAAAGTAACTGTAATTACTTTTAAAAATAATATAGAAATCTGCCCGTTGCTCTTGCATCCATCAGACAGTAGCTGGCTAACTTTGGTCCAAGTCCAACACTCTCCATCTCATAGTATGCTTTATTACAGCTAATGTAACGTCCAGTTTTGTAATTTGTAAGTATATCTCACTGACTGAACACAGACCTAAAAACTGTGTGGGCACATCACCTCTCCGAAGTGAGGGCAATACAGACTACAGAGCACTGGCAAGAAAGCTTGCACAGAGGGTTAATTTCTTTGCCTATCAACAGATATTGCAGATACTTTCCTAAAGCAAGAATTTGAGTAGTTTTTGTTTTTTTTTATCAGCCAAGATAAATGAAGTACAAGTGAGTGCAAGCACAAATATTTATGGAACGGAAGCACAGGGACAATCAAAAAGTTGATGGAAACGTCTGAGAGGAAACAAGAAACGTATTTGTTCTTCTACTTACACACAGTTGGCAATGTATTTTAACAGTTTATAGATGCAGAAAGAAAAAAACCATGTTCCTGATCTATTGCAATCCCATGAAGTGCCTAACATGTGCATTAAATTAATTAGTGATTTAAAATAGAAGCTTTGCAAAAGAAGGTTTCTAATATAAAACATTAAATTAAATGTCTCCAGATTCTGAAAGTCGAAATTAAGACACAGAAAGCAATGAGGCAAACATTCCTAGTTACCATGCCAAGATTAAATTGCCCTTTTCTATGCATCATTATCAAATCAGTCTAGTCAAAACACTGGCTAATTATATTATCAAACAGTAAAAAACTTCACTTTCTGGAGTTTTCCATATGAGAATCTTCCCCCTTTTGCATCTCTGTTTCTTCGCACAATTAACGTTTGAAGAGTGAAATGCAACTGATATTGTTAGATGTAATCTGTTCAACAAAGTTATTGTATGCTTTTCAAACCCTGCTGGAATTTGTTTCAGATCCCCAAATCCTTAATAAATTGAAGTTCTTTATTTGCATTCAAGCTCACATGATGACTAATATCACAGAGGGAAGTGGAATTTTCCCTATTTCACTTCTGTATTTTGCATTTATGCAAGATACAAGTCTAGTTTATCACTCTTATTTTCATCTAAACATCTACCTATTAATTGATTTGGGATACATATCTTTGAGCCACTCTGCATGGTCAACTTGTGCAGTAATCTGGGAAGTTCTTCAAAGAGTTTGTTATGCAATGGATTGGTTTCAGTGGAATACTGTATGAGTCAGAAACACTGTCACAGAGTCACAGTAAATCACATTATCTAATGTAAAAATAAGAAGAAAAAAAAGAGAGAGATATACATTATTTCCATTTTCGTTGTTCATTACAAGGAGTATAGCTGAGGAGCTAGAGATCTGAAATCTGAACTTGAAATCCATTTTCTGCACCCAGTAGTTTACATTTGTCCCAGCAACAAGGCTTATACTGCCATACAATCCAAATCTAAGAGTCAGTCCCTGACCAGAAAGCCATCCTCCATCTATATTACATCTTCATTCCCTAAATTACACGGGCCGTTTAGCAGTAGTACAGCTAATATAACAATATAACAATATATATTCATGTCAGAGCCTGGAAGAAAGTCTGTGCCACAGCTTCTCTTTTCCTAAAACCCAAGATAAAAATCATTGTATAAAACAAAGAGAAATGTTCTGTTTCAGCTGACATTCAAAAGCATTCTTTCCAAAGAGTAATTGAACAAATCTTACTCAAAAGTCCTCTAAGTCTTCAGGCCTGCTCAGTCTAACACACTGCTCTGTGGAAAAATAATCAGATACGTTTACTGAGAGGTCACATGTCACATCTAATTTTGCAAAATATTGAGACAGTGTCAGGAGCCTTAGAAGCGCATTCCATAAAACACTACCTAGGAAAGAGCAATTTGACACATACTAAATGGGCATGTGACTTTACTGCACTATTAAGTGCTGGGTACTTACAGCTGGTCAGAGGAACCTTTATACTTCAAATACCTCTTGACAATATTGGCCCAACTCTTAATACATAAAGCTCTGCCCAAAATACACCAACAGTCCCTTTGCTGAAAATTATACTGAAAACTGCCTTGAATCAAGCCTGAGCTATTACAGATTTTGGTGTTTTTAATTCAGCTGATTACTTGCTGCCTTTTATTTCATTTTTCTTTTAACTGCATTTATGCTCCATAGCAAATGCCTCTCAAAACCCTCTCTATTAAAGAGCAGGCACCTGCTCTAACTGAAATAACCTCAGCACTCATGGAACAGAGAGGTGATTAGAAACCTTAAATGGAGCGTAAGATCCAGTTTGGTGCTAGCATCACTTAAATAATACATGCTTTTGATACTGCAAATCCTGCCTTCTGAGATGGGTGTGTGCTGTTCTACTGCCATATTTGGTTTTTGGGGGCAATAATCTGTAGTATCTGTTGCTCTGTGTTTCTTTGACTGAGAATATCTCATGGTATACACTATCCAACCCTGTCCTTAGAGGTTTTGGCCAATGTTTATGACCATATCTTCATCGGAAGAGGACATTCATTCCGATTGCTCTTCTTCATCATCTCAGTCACAGAAATCTTCTAACAGGAAAACCACCTACTTCAGAACTGCATTCTGTTTGTCAAGTTTGGAACCTGAAGTCCCAAATCAAATCAGCTTAGGAGCATGAGTCATACACCAGTGCAACTGCAGAGAGTTTCCCCGTGATTTCTGAGGACCCTCGATCAGGAGAGGACACGCAGTAGCTGTGAACCAGCAGCTTTTGCACTGCCATTTCTATTCAGTGGATAGCAGAAGGCACCACCACAGAGGAAGCTGACAATGTCAAATTTATCCAGAAGGACATTTCTGGGGAAAAGATGTTCAACTTCAGAATTAAATTAAATCCATTCATGAATAAACAAATCAAAGCTTATTGACTTCAGCATCTAGCAAAATCTGTTTTCTCAATTTTTCTTATATGCTGAGAAAATTAATTCAGTTTGATAGTGGGGGGATATCGCTCTGAAATGCAGAGGGGACCATTCCTTCCTGTTACAGCTACCTGAACTTTCTCATTTCAGATCCTAAATGCTACCACATTATCAAACTTCAGTCTTCAATGAGAAAAGAAGCCTTTAAGCTGCATGTCTGCTTCCGGCTAAATTTTTCTGACCAAAGACTGAGCAAGATCTTTTTTGCAATTGCAGTACAGCCAGCAGGAACAGACCTCTGGACCCTGAGCCAGAAGTGGGAGCTAAGCTCTCCCACACGTAATGAATCCCTGATAAGGCAGTCAGCAGGAAGAATGAAGCTTTCAAAGTCACATTACGCAGGGGTCAAGAGTCAGACATGCAAGAGGATAAAGGGAACATTGTCACCAAAGGAAAATGCAGGTTAACAAGTGCAGGAAATAATTCAAGTTGGTGTTAGCACCGGAGATGTCCTCTCCTCAGCTGGAAAACACAAGAGGAGGATCTGCTGTAGAAGGAGCAATTCTAAGAATAGCAGAGCTGCATCTTTGTAAAACGCATAAAAAATTTAATCAGCTGGTTACTTGCTAATCTAATAAGTCTTTTCTGTGGTAGGAAATTACTGCATAAACGTAAAATAAAGGCATAAGCAGCCATTTTCTACCATCTAAATTCTCTAAAATCTGCTCAAGCCGCAAAATTAAATCCCAGTACATACAGTGAAATAGTACATTTGTGCATTTATTTTTTTTTCCTGTTAGGGAACAATGTGTTTTTTACTCTGGGCACTTTTTTGATTAGATTTCACTCCATGATTTTTTGTTTATACATTGTTAGCTGCAGGCATATATGCCACAGCAATGACAAAAAAAAAAAAAAAAAAAGGGAGAAAGAAAAACATGCAAATTAAATGTGTTCCAACACTTATATCCTTCTGGCTCTGAAAATGGGGATTGGTACTGCACCATTTAACACACAATACTGCCTTCAGATGAGGCTAGAGGAAAATAAGAAAAACTTTTCTCTAGATCTTGATGTTCAGCACATGGTGGTTTTGACGAATTTATGGAGTCACTAAGCACCAGAACTGAGGACCTTTCTATGAACCATTTTAGGGCATCTCACCACAGTCAAGAAAGTGATCACAGCACATGCGGACCTTCTTAAACTAAATTTTAGTTAATAAACTTAAGAGTTGCTAGATCCAAAGCACTGACAGCATCCTGCATTCATAAAACATAACCCAGGATTCTTTATCACAGAATGGCTCAGGTTGGAAAGGACCTCAAGGATCATGAATCTCTAAACCCCTTGCCACATGCAGGGCCACCAACCTCTACATTTCATAGCAGCCCAGGGCTCCATCCAATCTGGCCCTGAACACCCCTAGGGACGGGGCATCCACAACCTCTCTGGGCAGCTGTTCCAGCACCTCACCACTCTCTCTGTAAAGAACTTCTCCCTGACATCCAACCTAAATCTTCCCACTCTCAACTTAAAACCATTTCCCGTTGTCCTGCAGTTATCTACCCTT